CCTTTTAGAAATCTTACCAATGACAAGTATGAATGCAGTGATGCACTCTGGCAACAATATAATCACTTAATTAAAAAAAAGGAACAAACGCCTCCAAACCAGCAACTTTTTCCTGAAAATGGCAGCCCATGCTCAGAGAATCTAATTTTGGCTCTTGGCATAGGCTCCATCTTCCTCAGTGACAAAGGACAGCACAGCATTCATTAGCACAAGGAGAGACACCCACCTGAACATATTGCTGAATTGCTCACAATTATTAACACTTCATCCTTACAAATCCTGTTTAAAGCCACCCCTAAAGATTGTCAAAGTCAAGGCTTATAGTAATTTCCTGGCATTTTGGAGTGGGTCTTAACTGAGGAGGCACCACCCACTGGCCATCGCAATTTCACCTAAAGCCGTGTGGCTGGCTCTGGGTCCTCGGGAGTGCCTGGATGGCAGCAGGCACTGGGCAGAGAGGCTGAGCTGGAATTCAGCTTGTGTGAATGTGGGCACTGATAAGCAAGGTAACTTCCAACAGTCCGAAGTAGATTATTTGCAGTGTGTAGTACCGCTCTTATGGTGAAGTGGCTACAGAAGTAACTTGTATTGTGAAATAAGTGACTGTGGAAAAGCTGTAGGTTTGTCTGTATTGCATTTTTTTCCTTCGCTGGGCCAATAAAAATTCCCTTGAGTTCAACAGCAGTTGGACTGGATGAAAAGTGGAAGCAAACAGATATTGTTATTTTCAAGGGAACACCGGGAACGCATGCTTTGCTGGCTTTTTTGTGTCTAACTCTGCCTGATGTGGTGCAAAGAGCTAGAATACAATGAAGTAAAACATTGCAAAGTCTTCCAAATTGGGCTTTTGACTTTTTATAGCCATATATACATATTTATATATGCATATAAAAGGTGGAAAGATTGAAAAAGTAGCTTTTTTTAATGGCTCAGTCTTCATAAACCAAATCATACATTGTTTCAGCTGTATTTTGAAAGAGGCATGGAAGAGTTTCTCTGTAGAAACTTAAACATAAGAAGCTGCATGAGAGAAGGCTCATTTGCCACCCTGACAACTCAGAGAAACTTCATTCACACATAGAGGACTCCCATCTACCACAAGCCAGCACTTGCTCCCACTGAAGCAAAGGTTAAGTCTCCTACCAGCTTCGGTGGTAACTCACTGAGGCTTGCAGCAGGAACCGCACGTGCCTGTGCAAAGCCACTCCTTCAGGAGCTGGTCTGGGGTGGTTTTTTTTGGTCCACAGACCTTTACGACTTGTTAGGTGAGAGGTTTTCAAAGTGAAGTGTAACAAGGAGCTTTGAGCATGAGGTGTCACAAAATTAAAAATCTACAACTTCTCTAAGAAAAAGATGGCAGCAGAAAAAGAATATACATCTATACAGTGTGCACACATGTATACACATATACTCCTGTTTCATGCAGAAAGCTTCCTAAATAAAAACATACAAAAAATAACCAGTGCCATACATTATGTAAACCCACAAGGCATACTTTCAACATAAATTTGAAGCATAAATTAAAAGAAAGCGAAAAGGAGAGAAACAGATACGATAGCAAAACATTTTAAATATAGAATTTGCACAATTGGTATTTTTGTTAAATAAGAATAAATAAATTCATTACATCCGTTCACATACCAGTTGTAAAAACAATAAATTATTTTATTTTTTTCAGTGCTGTGTTGCTTTTTTTTTTTTTTTTTTTTTTTTTTACAATTGTGATTAATCCACAAGACTATTCCCTCTCCCCCTTGTGATAAAACTGTTTCCACAGGAGGGCAGCTACATTTTATTTCTTGCATACAGCCAAACCAAAGATGATAGGCTTTTTCCTAGCGAGAATGTCTTATTTGAGAAGCAGATGCTCTAAAAATCACTGATGCTTAGGGGTCCAGCTCCACCCAAGGGCACTGGAGATGTGTCCCAAAAAGTCAGCAGTGAATTTAACACTGAAGATTGCCGATTTCGATGCAAAGAGCAATACTCCAGTTTCTATCCCCTAGGTGCGTTTTATGAACCCTGTTTGGCAATGCTCAGTAGTAATGTAAACAATGACATAACAGTGTGAGAGACAAGGAATTTCGTTGAGAACAGAAGCTGAAATGACACAGTCCCATACCTTGCACCAACTTTTCATTCATCAGCTGCATGAACTAGCTATGGCTGACAAAAGCAAGGTTTGGAATCGGAGTCTGATTACACAGAAAAGCTAAAAAGCAAGCGTCAACTAGAGCAGGCTGACCTAGTTTGTCTGACACTTTCAGGGTTGCTTCCTTGGTCTGTCTCCTTTGCCCTCTCACCATATCAAGGCAACTGCTTTTTTTTGTACGTTAATCTGCTTCATTACTACACCAGCGAAAAGGGAAAAATCACTATAGTGGTTTGTTCTCGTACTTATTTATTTTTTATAAATAAACTCTACGAAAAAGATACTCTTGATCTAAGGAAGCTTTAAATTTATACCCGCGTATGGTATTACTCTTCTGGAGCCTGAACAGCATCCAAAAACTTTACTCATCCTGTTGAATATATAATAAATTATTACTGTGATGCAAACACAAATACTTGCACATTCTGTCTCTATTATGATAAAACACAGGAAAAACAAATGTCACTTAATACAGCAGCTGTATGCAGAGACAAATGTTAAGTCTATGCTGAGACACATTAAGTCTCTTTATTTTTCCTCTCATGATGGTTTCTATTTGTTATGAACTTTTTTGAGAGGTTCCAGAACATGTGTAATACATATATAAGTATAAAAAATAGATACTTGAAAGGAAAATAAGACACTTCAAAGTGATCTTATGTTAATAGGTAGAGAAGGCATAAATCTTCACTTTCCAGAACACTGCAAATATTCAGAGCCTTGATCTCAGTTCTTAGGGTGGGATCAGAGATTAAGTGGGGAATTTTCCTCAAGATCCAAAGTTTTGCATAGGACTACTCCTAAAAAGCAGGCCACACCATTTCTGAAAGCTGAAGATGACTAGTAACATTCGTTGGTAATTCCTTTTGACAGAGGAGGCAGCCCTGCCCCTACTACTGTTTATTTAGAACAGGGTACAAAAACAGATACTTCTCCAGGTTTCACACTTGCAGATGTAGCAATTCTATGCTGTTTCGAAATCATCACATGCTTTCTAAGAGTTCATACAAACATGCCACAGTTGCAAAAACATGTTTGTGTCAGCCTGGAGTGAGACCTGCCCTTCTTGCTATGCACGCCAACAAGTTCTCTCTACTGATTTCATGACTGGGATTTTCAGAAAGGCCTGGGGTATTTCAGTGCTCGAGTACCACTGACTTACAGCTGTGAGGCTTGTCTGAAAATCCTCCTGCAGTCTCATACTCTCCTGTGTGGATGAGCGAAGGAATAAAAGACAGATGGGATTCTATTTGCATCAGCATATTATAACCATTTCTTTTGGTACCTGTCATCCTAGGGCTTAATTCAAAGCCAGCTGATATAAAAGGAAGCAATTTTAACAGGGCTGCTGTCAGGCCACCACCTGCGTAAGGTGAAATGCCCGTCCTCGGTCAACAGAACTTCTACCAGACAATAATGGGATTCAGAAGTTGCTGCCAATGACAACTATTACCAGCTACTGCCTGTACTGTGGAAACAGTCTTATTGATATTGGGCAAGTCCTCCACATCCTGATGTGGTTAGACTTCCTGGTGACCCCTCTTCCTCCCAAATGTGGTAGATATACAAAACACGAATGCCTTCTATAGCTTTAAAAAACCCCAAAACACACACAAAACAATCAAAAAAGACAAATAGTTACAAACTTTTGCTGGTAAGATGAATACCAGAGTTAGACACGATGGACAAAACAGTGATAAAATACTAACTGCTTGCTGTGTTTTTTGACCTTTATAGCCTCTTCAGAAGATGTAGGTACATTACACATTGTTAGATTCAAGGTGGAAGCCATAGAGAAAATAACAGAGAAAGCAGTTGAACACAGCCTCAGAATATCTGAGTTAGAAGACACTTGATTATCTTACCTGTAATTTTTGGTTCTCTAACTACTTTCTACAAAATACAGTATGCCTTTGTTTTATGGAAAGAAGCTAGCAGCTATCGTTCATCAATAACAAGGACCCCGAGCTGGAACTAGTGGAAGGTTTACAAGCAAAGTGTGCACAAATTCCTTCTAGCAGCCAAATCCTCCTTCTGTGTGTGTCTGACACACACGTGGTGAGGAGTCGCTGATGGTGCTGGTATTTGAGCAACACACACGTGGGGATCCCTGGTCTGCAAGCTGCTGCAATGCTCCTTCTGAGATTCTTCATGGAAACACAGTATTTGTCATAGAATAATGATCTGCTGTCAGGAAATTCCTAGCACGAAAATGATTCCTTTTGTCAAAACCAAAAGGTACTACTTTTTAAAACCAGCAGCAAGCTCCTCATTTTCCAGTAAAACATCTGCAGCCCTTTCTGAAGAATGGACCAAGTCCATGAGGGCTGCAGATATACTTTGGTCAATCACTTTGCTTATGTAGTTTGTCTTTTGATATTTTAATAGAACCAAGTGATATAAAGTGACATACCAAATGAAAGATATTTACAAAACAGCATAAAATAAGCTACTGTGGTATCATGGGTACATGTGACGTTTTCTAAGGACATACTGTATTAGAGGTAGGTCAAAAAGGGGAGATGATTCTGCAACCTTCAAATATCCCAGGATCCTCCATTCACTAGTTTTTCTTCTTTTTGCATTATTTTATTTTATAAATTTTTGCAGACACAGAGGGCTTAAAACAACTTTAATGCTTAGGTTTTTTTGACATATTAAGATCACCCTACTATTATTTAAAGCAGTGCACATCTTCATTTGGTCCAAATAGGCAGATTCTGCCCATAATTTGAGACTGTATGTAAGTACATTGAAGCCTTTGCTTCTCTCTGTCTGGGCAGACCTAATACCAGTATGTCAACAATGGCTTATTCAAACCTCTTTTAAAGAAGATCAGAACCACAGGTTAACACTTTTTCAACAAGCACTGTTTAAATGCTGATGGTCTCTGAGAGAGAAGACATCCCTTAGCTAATTTTCCATGCCCGTCTTTGCACTGGACAGTCCTGGTGTGCCATCCTGTGTCGCACGTTCGAGAACAAGAAAGCCACGGCCCCGTAACCCAGCGGGGTTGCGTGAGCTGTGGAGTAACTTTGCTGCTGCTGCTGCTGCCGCTGCTGGTGACAGAGTTAGTCATTTGCCCTTGCTTCTTTGGCACGAAGAAACTATAGCGGACATCCACTGGTTGAGTTGGATCAGTCGCAAGTATCTGCACAATAAGAACCTCTTTTGTGGCAGAGTGTCCCATTGCGTGCAAGAAATCATCTTTGTGACTCCAGCCGCTGTAGTTCATGACAGTCCCGTTGATGTCAATGATTGTTTCTGAAGTGGAGATCATGTATTTTCCATTGACAAGGTACTCACCGTTTTTCTTTTTCAGGGCCAGGTAGGCAGTGAACCTGCTCTGGTCCTTAGTCTTGAACTGCCGAACTTTGATGTGGGTCGCCCCTTCTGGGATTTTCACTACATCTGTGTAGCCCTTGCTGAATGAAGGGGAAAAAAAAAAAAAAAAAAAAAAAGAGTATTTAGTAGCTAGTGTGAAATAAGCCTCAGGTCTTACTGCAATGCCTAATGAAGTCACTGGCATGACACACCTTGCTTCATTTTAGTTCAGGCCCTGAACTCATCTGGCTTGAGGCTCATCCAAGATTAACTTCACCAGGTTCCACTGTTTGTCTACTGTATCGTTCTTCATGTTCTGAAGAAATTTCTACTGCACTTATTTCAAATTGCTTAATCTTTAGCTTTAGTAATGATCTTACGTGAGTCAGATACAAGAGGAATGAAAAATAATAGATAGCGTATATACTTCGGCAAAGGGTGGGAGATATGAAACACGATGCATGCTTTGCCTGCCAAGGAAAAGATAATGAGATATGCATTGGTTACAGCTGTTTCTTGCTGTCATTGCTATAATGATGATTAAGTAAAGCATGAGCAGAGTAACAGCTGGGCAGAGGTACCTTGGGAACATGTAAAAATAATCTTGATCACTGAGAAAAAATTTGTTTACTTTGAAATTCATAAAGCCAAAGATTAATTGTCAAGTGCCTGATATGAAGTGCACCCGAACGTTTAATTTGTACCATCACAGAGTCCCCTTTTTTGCTACTTATGTAGTATCTTAATTCACGATTAGAAAAAGATGTTTAACTCTTCTACCGAAAGTGACAAGCATTCAGAACCTGCAAGTGTGCTGGAACTTATCGCTATCTCAAGTATGACATTTATTTTAACTTTACTGATACATAGAAAAAATCTAAAGACTACAGCTACCAGCTGGACTTTGAAGACATGTATTTTCATTTCTAAATCTGTGACAAAACCATTCTGCAAGTATCTCATATCTGAGAAGTTTAGTGCTCAAACTTCTAGGAAAAAAGCAATGAGAAAATATACTTAAAATATATAAAAGTGAAGGGGTCTTCTTTGGGATTTTTTAAAGAACAAACTGCTAATTTTTAGAATTTTTGGCTGCACAAGTAGAGACTGCACAGACTACAGATTAAACGCTTGTGCTATTCCCCTGCTATTTCCAGCAGTTCTGGGACAATGACTAAAACTCTATTGATTTAGCACCTCCATAAAGCCGAAGGAATATGGTGCGAAAAACATGCCAGGGGGGAGGGGTGTGGACTCTGCTTTACAGCCCTGCACAAATATTTTTACGTAGCAGTTGCCAAAATAATTCTGTTAAAACATGTAATTAAAGTTACAAAATCACTTGTCCAAAAACTTAAAGCAATGTTGGAGAATTCAAGTTGTCTGCACAAAGAACTGTAACACTCCATGTGCACAAAGCAGCACGTGCAGCCTTAATCCTTCTCTTTCCCAACTTCTGACAATCTGGCTTTACTTTTAAAAAAGTTCTTAGGAAGCAAGTTTTCCAGAAGATCAGGTTTTGACTACTTTAAAAGAAAAAAGTACAAACAAATGTTGTTATGGCAATTGTCTGCAATGGGAAATACTAGTTTCCCTTTGTACATTGTAATAGTTTCCCTGTACATTTAATGTAGAGATTGCTACAGTTTGGATTATAATGGACAGCAGCGCAGGAGCTGCTTTTTGTCAGTGGAGGAAAGATAATTTTACTACAGCCACTGCCCTTTCATATGTAAAAACAGTTTACAGACAATTAAGATTTCACTATTTTAATGAGGGGTTTATTGTAAAGTCAATACTTACATAAGGGAATAGCCTCAAACAGTATTTCCAGTAAAAAAATAAACCCTCGTCACTCCAAAATTCAATCAAAATCAAGTTAGGACAGACTTGTTATTTACAGGTTGACTGTTACTTTCTAAATGGGGCAACTTTTTGAATGCATTGAGGTTGAATTAATATTTTACTCTCTGACCAGTCTCATTTCAGTTAAAGGCATGATTTGAGGAGTAAGATGGTAACTTCACAAGAATAATTATAACAGAATCTCTCCATTTCCAAATGTGTCTATGCTACAAAATTGGCCTCACTGAAATTCATGGAGTCCCTTTAACATTTTTGCTGGAGCCTGCATTCCAGCACAAGGGTCATTACTGAAACACATTAAGTATATCTCACACTGTCTTCTTCATTTAGACATCCCAGACATTTCAATATTTACAAATTGGAAAAGATGTGGTTTATACGATTACTAAATTGGATGGAAAGTCATACTTTTTGGCAGAGGTGTTTTGGCATCCCTAGGTGAGTAATCATTGGCTTACCAGGAAGAAGATCAGTTATGTTTATTTTTAGAATAAATTCACTCTCAAAGCCATTTTTGACTGCTATTAATCAGACGAAATGTATAGAAAATAAAAGGTCATTTCAGGAGTCAGATTTCAACTTCTGTTAGCTTTCAATATGCTACGTAAGAATTTGGAAGATATAAAACAAAATCAAGTTTATGTATATTTTAAAAGATGGTACGCTAATGCAGTCACAGATACTGAGTAGAAATTGTCAACTGAAAGTTGCTAAGCACAGATTGTTACAGCAGTCCTTTGAGACCTTGGAATCTATACAAATGAAAATTAAAAATCCTTATTTTGCTATGAATCTTAACACTTCAAGAGGGAGGGAAATGAGTTCAGACAGAAAGCAGACTTACTTGTCATTGGTATCTCAGTACAAAGCTTACTGCTGCCCTCAATGTGGTCAGGGAAAACCATGCGGGTGGTTCCTTTTATTTTACTTCTTATAAGTTTCATTACAGTTAAAAGCTGAACTCTGATGGAAAAATGTCTTACGGAGAACTGCTATAAATATTTTGACTTAAAAAAAAATCCATCTGGTGATCGATATTATGCCAATGGACATGAAGTGATATAGCAAATGCCATGCTTAAGCCGATGTTTACTTCTGACATCTCATCCAGTCATCTAAGTTCCACATATACTCAGCAGTGTGAAAAGGTATTTTTAGGGTATAATCCCTCCCAGCTATTAAGGAAAACTTTTACAGCTGCGCTCTAATGCTGTCTGCTTCTCTCCGCTAACTACACAAGGCATCTGTGTCACTAACTCAGGTGGGATGTCCTCATTGTCTTTCAAAGTTAGATGAGATGAAACACATTGCTAACACAGCATCATCTGGGAAACGCAGCGTTTCAGAGATAGCCAGATTATTCTGAACGCAACAACTTTCAGATTCACTCCTCTCTTCCCCTTTCCTCTCTCCTCTAGAAACCACAAGCCATCTGACACAGCAAGATTAGCAAGTAGCACAAGGTGCTGGTGCCTTATTCTTGGCAGGCTTCATATTAATGGGGTGCTCACCTGTATTGCTGGCATTTTGTGTCAGAAATGAACTGGCTACAGGGTTTTGGCAGTTGATTATTTGCCAGTTTCGGGGTAATGTTAAGAGGCCAGCTGTAAATATCTGGAAAGTGCAGTAACATACAGGCAATGTACTTTTTTGCTCAATCTTCGTATGAAAGTAAATTGTATTTAGAGACAGAAAAAAAAGCAAGCATATATCAGAGTTATTATTTGCACAACAGGATACATTTACTATTAGTCAAGATCAATACCTCTTTTTGGTAAAGGTTCCCATGACTTTTGTGCAGCTGGAATTGTCTCCTCCACACACCCCGCATTTGTCATACTGGAGCTTGGAACCGATGATGCCATCGCAACCAGTTCGGATGCATTTTCCCCGGACACAGACTGAATTACTGTATGGTCGACATTCAGTACCATCAGTTACCTAGGCAATCAAATGACCCCGTTAGTTATAACTCCCTTGCAAAAGATTTGCTTTTCTAAATCTGACTGGAAAAACCTGGTTACTTACTTATGTCACCTACTCAGAATGGAGTGCCTACTCTGACAGACCAGACTGAGTTTCTCTTAACGTTCCCAGCACAAAAGCAGATGAAATTTAGCAAAGGGCTGAAAGCAATGACAGATAACTCCACTCTAAGACACTAAAATGACCCTGGCTTTACTGATGATCTCACAGCTTATTAATAAAACAATAACTGTACCTGTAGATAGCCTTGCATTCGAGCTATCTACATCTAAATGTTACCTTCGTAACATTTAGAGGCAGAAAATTGCAAGTATAAGCATGGGAGACATTTCAGTTTGAAGTGCATCTGATACAACAAGCTGACTGCAAGTCACATCTATACTAATTGGCTAATTATTCTATATTAATTGACTCTGTAAGAGTCACTCTGGACTCCCTTAACATAATTCAGGGTAAAACTTGCTCTTTTACTGATAGTACTCTTTCTCCTCCACAAAACCCCACAATGACAGGTGATTCTTCAGGCAGAGACCTCTTTATCCACTACTGAAAACAAACTAGTGCGGAGTGCACTACGAGGCCCATATTTTTCATGAATCCACATATTGTGATGTGGAAAAACTTACCTCATTTTAGAGGCCAGTTCTGGTCCTAATGTATAACCAGTGGATCAAACCATTAAATCTAAATCACACAGTTAAATCTTTGAATCACATGATTAACTTATTTTCCCTTGTTGTA